GGTGTAGCAGATGTCGTTGAACATCAGGTGAACCGTCTGCTCGCTTGGCAACTTTCACATAAAAAAAATTGACAAAGCTCATGAAGTGACTGTACCAATAATTAGCCACATTCTTAGTTAGAGCAGGTAAGTTTCGAATAATGAAATTTTATGAGTGTGAATTAAGCAAGCAAAGTCAGTAAGCAAGAGCTCTTTCAAAGAAATATTGAGACCTTTCTATTCATATCAAAGGTCATTGTTGTAGGCAATATTGTAAAGTTGTTGAGATTTACAATCAAATTAGATACAACGGCATAAAGGGGAAAATACATGAAGCGTGTGTTACTTTCACAAATGCGTTACAAAAACACTCTAATATTGAAATAAATTATTAAATTTCTTTTTTCTTGTATAAATATGACAGACAGCGGATGTTACGGATATACTTAAGGATAATCTAGATAAATGTCTATTCGTGACTGACAGGCAAGTAGTTTTTAATTCCTCTGGAGTTCGGATATCCACGTTGGTGTTTATGGTTTACCATCGGGCTTTCCCATAATTAAAAAGTTAGATCGGATCTGTTACTAAACGAAATTATTTTCACGGATTTATCGCGTTTATCTTTAGTTTTAATTCCCGACGTTTCGAACGCTTTACGCCGTTCACGGCCACAGGACAGGCTGAAACGTTGGACGCCTGAATGTCATTGGTACAGTATCAATTAAAAATAAAATACTGCACTATTCGCGTAAATATAAGAAGTTGTCATGGATCGGATACGGTATCGTCTGGCCTCCGTTTCATTTCTCTAGATTACCCCATGACTTTGCCATTAAAGCCCTTTCCCACCCCCATCGCGGCCACAGCGACGGGGCGATCCGAGAACGATAACAAGATTTGGCACTTCGCGCGCCATAATAGATCGCGACATTTTTGCCGGCTATTATCGCTATTTATTGACTAAAGTTTACTCAAAGGAAACGCACAAAGAATCTTAGTGTTCAAATATCAAAAACGCTAAATCTTTTTTTTTGTATGAGTAGGTGACAAGCGAGCTGGCGGTTCACCTGATGTTAAGTGGACATTTGCAACACCCGTCGGGTCGCAGATGCGTTGCCACCTTTTAATAAAGTGGGGCTCGGCTGCCTCACTCACCAGACGAAACGGGAAACGAAGTATAACACTTCACGCTGGTCTTCTGTGAGGTCGTGGTACTTCCCCGGACGGACCTGCCCATTTGTGCAACAGTGAGAGTGTTGAATGGAATAGTAAATTTACTTTTGATAAGCTGGTGTATTTAAGAGCGCTAAAAATTTTGTATTTTAAATTAATTAATATGTATTGCAGCGCTATACCTATCGGAAAAATGGGACATAAGCACGGTGTAATGGGCACTTACATGTAAAAATTGTATAGACATGTGCCTATACTGTTTATGCATGTTTTCTAATAAATACAAGTGCTTACCATAATAAGTTCAAACAAAAATACCATTATCACTTTAACTCAAGTTAAATTTTTTCTAGTTCCTATTTAGGTACAACAATAAATTTCAATAGCTATTAAAAGAAAATATTTAACCTAATATACGAGGATTACATGTACAATGCATGATTTTATGTTTATTTTCGATCTGATCTCTTGATATCCTTATTAAAAAAAACCCGACTAACAATATTAACCTCTTACTACCACCCAGTTTTAGCCTCAAAGTGTGTTCTACACGATTGCTAACTTTCATTCCACGAGACCCCGGCTTACCTATGCATGTATTCAAATCCCGCCGGGCTACTATTTTTTTTTTAATTGAGGCCCGCACTGAGCGCCAGTGGCGCATCGTTAATTACAAATCAGATTTGTCGGGGCCCACTTCGTTCGTCCGCTACGACAATTCAACTGGTGCACGCAGTACGCCATTGGGAAGACCTAATGCATTCGAAATGTACAACGGCGTCCCGCCCTCGCCGCGGAAAATTGAGCCGTAACTCGTTAGAATAGAAACCATTCTGCAGTGCGGATGCCCGATGGTACAATTGAAACCTCGCATCGGCAGACTTAACTGAATGCCTTCTTACCGAATGCCCACATTATTACGCTTGTTTCGAAAACAAAAGGGAATCCGGGCATGCATAAAGCTTGTGACCTTTTAACTAGTCAAACACTATTTATATTGTACACTTATTTACCTATATTGTAACTTTTGTCACATGATTGCAATTTTGACCCATATTCCATTTACAAAGGAGTTATTTTAAAAATCGAAGTTTTAATGAATTATTTATTGAAACGGTTGATTAATATGCGAAAGATTCCTTAATTGCAGTGTCTGGACACTTGGCATTGGCGACTATCTGGCTTGTGTTGATGGTAATGGCGTTGATAACTATTGAAAATGAATACGATCGTATAATACCTACATATTTCATTTTCTATTCAACGAATTCAGTACAGGAGGAAAAATGTTTTTTTAGAACGCCGGCCGCATTTGTCACACACATTTGGTTGCATATGATAACATTATCTGTTTACAGTCAACGACACGCGACAAGTGATAAATTTTAAATAAAATGAGGAATGCGCAGTGATTGCTCGAGACGCGTTTTAAAATATAACCGCAATAACAGGAAACTGCGTTATTACGTCCATGTTAATCGAACGCGCAAAAACAACTTCTTTCACTGAATCGTTTCAATGTTATCGTAAAGCGTTCGCTGCAAAGAGCCGTGATAGCTAGTTGTCCGGGAGCTCGCTTTTAATTCAATATACTCGAGCAACATGAGCACGGTGCCGGCACAATAAAAATTGCAAAAAAACATCGTGGAGAAACCAACAAATATACCTACGTATAAAATAATTAAAAATATAAATGAAATTATAATTAGCTCCTGACGACTCGGTGCCGCTTTGCTAAGCAATTGGCTTCAACGCCGGAGGTGGTGGGTTCGAATCTGACACGTGGAGATTATTTGTGTGACCTACAGGTAAATAACAACATGACGGTAGTGCCGACCTAGGTGTTATAAGGGCAGGAGAAAGAAGAAAAATAAGACGTGAAAACATTTCATATACCTATATATTATCAATGAAATGATTAAAAAACATTTTTTTTAATATATTGCAGTTTACAAATACACAATAATGTCGCATGATGGCAATACCGTCTGTACAGAGTCTTGCCCAACAGTGGCATACATAAATAGTCCACATTATGTTATTTTACTCAACCTATTCGCTACAAAACACCATCTTATCGTGAAGTGTATCCTTAAAAGACAAGATAGATCGATAGAATTCATAGTTGCCACTACGCGCCGCTTTTATTATATCGCATTTAGGGTTCCCTACACAGCGGAATCCGTTTGGGGCGAGAGTTGAATAAGAATGAGGTCAAATTGGATCGGGCCGAGATAACATCTATGCGACGGGGGCATGTGCCCCGTGTTTTCGACTGATGGCAAAAAAAACAACAAACCCTTTGCTTGTGTGCGTATGTGAGGGATTATTTACTCGTAGATAGGCATTTCTTCGTACAACGTTGACGTATGCCGCTTTCGGCGTGTTAGCGAGGCTTTCGAATTAATTAACATACAAACCATATCGATAGCGTTGGCACGTCAAAAGATAAAAGTTTTAATTTACATTTTCTGTCTGCCACTCAGTATCGCGTGTAGAAGATTTACAGACGTATCAATTTTCGAGAACTTTCACAAACCACCTAAACAATATACCTTATAACGATAAAGGCTATGAGGACCTGGTCATCACAGAAGTGGTAAAAAGCGTAGTGTATTTTTCGGTTGTATTTAGCGATATTAAATTAGTGTCTCGTGGTGACGATAGAATGTACCAAGGAACTTCTGGGAAAAGTTTTGTACACATTGAACAATTGTTAACCCAATTGAAGCTGTATCTAAATTATTTTGTATATAACAATAACTTGTAAGAAATTTGTTTTTATAAAATTAGCAAATTACAAAGCATTATTGGCATAATTTAGTAAACGGTGAATTTTTTTAATTATGATTCTAATCTTATTATTGGCCAAACAAAACTATTTTCCTCATTTTGTTATTCAATACCATAAGTTTCTTAAACTTTTTAATGTTTATTCATGGTCACAGGAAATACTGGACAATTTTGAAAACAATATAAAATTCGTGAAATACTTTTATTTACATTCCGATCATACAATGAAAAAATTATGTTGTAAGTTTTTGTTTCTGTTATAATTTGTAAACTTGTTCAGACTGTTGATCTATCAGATATTGTTTAATTAAATAATTGGTTTAACTTTAAACCACTTCCAATCAAAACGCCTGTTTACACAATTGTAAAATACGATAATGACTTACGTTTTGTGCCCGCCATGAAAATTTAGATAACGGAGAGCACATATTCCGAGAACGAGCCGATAAGAAATCGCCTTTAAAAACATTATTATAAAACAAACACTCCAACAATCGCCGTTTCGTTAACATTGTTGGAATGATCAATATTGAATGAAATAAAAATGCGTGGGATAAATTCACGGTACGAAAACGTAGAAACGGGCCTTTTTCTTACAACACCAGTACAAAGATTTTGTGTATTAAATGATGTTTCATCTTCTTCTTCTAGTAAATTTATTACTTTTACTAAAAATTTATATAACTAGCGGACCCAACACGTTGTCCTGTACTCACGACTTAAATCTGGCAACAAATTATATAAAAAATGATACTCTCCAATTTTTTTCATGGGCTTAAATATAAAAAAGTCAATAATTAGATGTTGTTTATAATTTTTATTTTTATTTAGAATTCAATAAATCTTTTAAGCTAACTAAATATTAGGTAATTATAAATCTATCTTTAGAACTTAGATACGTCGCTACGTTCGGATATTGTATCTCGTAATTAAAAGGAACGGGGAATTCCTCGGACGTTATGAGACCGAAATATAACCGCTCGCAGAACTCTCGAGTCGGTCCGCGAATCCGGTCGGCGGCAACAAAAAATAATCACTACCGATTCCGAAGTATGGCAGAAATTTGCGCCGACACGCACGCCCAAGTGAGCGGCCCCCTTTATTTGACAGCAAATTAATAATTACAAAAGCAACCGTAACGCCTTAACGCTAACACCAACTTGCCGAATATAAACTTTATGCAACGAGTGATAGAGTCGAGATCGCGCATTTGGTGCGGTACGAACGCCCTTGTGCAACTTTAATCCTTACGTACGACGACATTAAAGCGTAAATCGAGCAGTGGAACGAAGTTAATAGGATGTAATTTATCCGGGTCTAAGAGGCCACGTTGCCGCTCTGGGTGTGGCGGGACAGAGAGGCACTCTGTTCGATCGTAGCGAACGAGCAAGACAAACATGTTTCCACGATTGCGCGCACGGTAGCCGTTAGTTCGCTGGTCGGCGGCCGCAGCGCCACCGGCCGCGTACCGTGCAAGCGAGGTGCGTTCGCGAACGTCCTAAGCGGCGTTTCTCATTAATTTTCAGGAAGACGTTAAATTTCTCTCCCATCTCTCGCCCCTCGGCAAATGGCTTTCGGCTCGTTTCACGCTTTCCAAACGACGATCGGACCGATCATTGTTCGTGAACGGGCCCGTGAATATTGCCGCTTCCCCATCGAGCGGTCGAACGCTTTTTTATTTAAACAAGCGGACGCTCATAACGCTTTCATTAATTGAGAAGGTAAACGATTACGAACGGATGTCGTATGGTCCGTTTCCATTTCTCCAATTCTTGTCGTCCGACGGCAAGTCAAAATCTTATCCAACTCTTTATTCTAAATGCTAGCGGGGTCATATTCACTTTAGATAATTATCATGTAAATAGAAGTGAAGGAAAACAATTGTATGGACATTGCATGGGAGTAAAATTTTTATTTCTGATCAGCGAGTAGATACCAATAACAGATAGCGATAGATTTTTCGAAGGGGTCAAGGCAAGAATATATCGCCACTTACCACCGGTCTATCGTTTGCCGGTCTCTCATTCAAAACAAGATTAGTCCCATCCAACAGGTAATATAATAAAAAACCTCTCAATCTAACAATCATGTTCGGTGATCAACGAACAATTACCAAGTAGATTTCTCCTGCATTGATAACCGCCGGATGCGCGGTCGTCTAAAGTTTACCCCGAACAATCGAGAGAGAGAAAAAAAGGTTCCTTTGTTGCGCGCGCTAAACAATGGGAACAGTTTCTTGAAGCAAAAACCATTAATGGAAAGTTATGAAATATAAATAAAGTCGTAGGTGTTTTGCATAAACATTGTGACCAAACTTAACTAGACAATGATTTTAGCGTTCCGTAGGCACGGGCGTATCTATTCGAAACATTTTTGTTGAATTTCGTTACAGTGTACCAACAATTAAGAAAAATGCTCAGAAGTCAAATTATTATAATTATTGGACAGTATTTAAAACAAACTGTTTTTACATTTGGGTCATTTATAACCCGGGTGTACAATGAGCAGAAAAAATTCTCACAGTTATACTATTTGCGGAAGTGATGTCGCTTCAACTTTAAGTTATCGATAAAACGAAAGAAGTGGGCGCGTTACCAGTGGCGGAGGCGATAAAGTCGAGCGAGGCCTATCACGAGGTCACTTGATTTGCATGCAAACAGCCTTCTTTGTGACGCGGCAGACTTCAAATGTACCGTCACCTATCTACTATATTTATAACATTTGTTCGGTTTTCACGATGCTCTAATTTATTGGGTAAATCTGACGTTTTGAGTAATAATTTGTTATTTGCTCTATGAAATGTAAAGAGCAAGAGTTTTGAATGTGATATGAATGACGTGTTTCTTTGATTATCGGCAATTATTTAAAATCTGTACCACATCTTTCATCTTTGATAGACACAACCGCTGAACGGTCAGAAACAACTGTGTACAAACAAACTTTTTAAGTCGTCGTTCAGCCCGTGTTCCAAACCAATACGTCCGGGCACTTGGCACTACACTATTGTTCTTCTATGCAAGCTTTAACGTCAACAATTTTAATTTTATTAATTACAATTAATTACAAGAGTTAATTTGTAGTTTCAGTCTTAACGATCGGGGTCAGTTGTGAATTGGTGAGGCCTTTAAAACTTTATAAAAGAAGGAAAGGTTAGCAGATAAAGGGGACGAGGAATAGCGAACCAACACTCGCTGAGCACGTTTCAAAGTCCTTCACACAACTGCAGCCTCCGTAAGTAACGAGCGAGCAAAGAGATTTGTAATTGAAGTTCTGTGTACTCCCCCTGTGTACATAACCGAAGCGCCACCCTGGCACAGTTTCTTCTTTAAAGATCTATTGAATATTCCATAGTTCATCGGATACAAACATATAAGGTCCCTGACTCTATTACATAACGATGATAAAAAATAGTTTCCACTCACATGTATTTCTTTCGTTCATAATTATATTTCTAGATATAAATTTCGATAATATTGTGAATGTCAACAATTTCCATAAATATAACCAACCGGTTGTTCGTGTTAATGTATACAGTGGGCATATTTATCTCCTATATCTATCTTTTAGATTTCAACAGTATACATATAAGGATACAAGTGTGCCGTGTACTTTCTCTACATTAATTTTAACATAAATATATTACACGCGCTCAATCATTGTTAACATTACAAGTATTTCCAGAGCTATTAAAAACCTCAGTTACATATTTTCAGTACAATCTAAGTAGTATCTATCAGTAAGTTTTGAAATCTGTAAAGGGTTTGATTAATAATAAAGTAAATAATTGGAATCTCCAATTATTTACTTTATTATTCGTTTCAAAAACGGGTTACGTTATTTTAACACAAGAACTCATCATCAAGCGCATAGTACTGCCACGAAGAAAAGATTGCGTCTTCGTCTTTGAGACAAAACTTCGTTTTACGTGCATCGGCGGAGGAATTTCACGAATGCAACGGAAGACGTAGTAATATCGAGACATCTGACTTAAAACTATCGCGGAGGATCCCGCGATGCGACGGAGAATGCCACCGTCGACCTTGGTGTTATCGCAAACATTGAAGTCTCGTTTCCGTGGGCCCATTAGCCGAAGCGTTCACTGAGCTTACAGAAACGTCGAGGTAGGTTCAGTCTATTCATATTTTAGTGCTTATTTATATACTAGTTACATATAACTTGGACTAATGTTGCCACGTCAGTATACATTTTCATCGAGAATCGTAATAACACTATTACGAAAACATGTTTCAACATGAATTCAACAATTTTTTGTGTGAAAACTAGCAGGCGATTCACCTGCTTTGAAGCGATAGCCACCGACCATTAAAAAAGTGGGACCTGACTACCTCACTCGCCAGTCTTCTGCTGCGTGGCTCTACAACAAGAAATATTAAGCAATTATAAAAAAAAATATCAGTTTATAATTCTCTTTTTAGCGTGCAACGGCAAAACATAAGAAACACTCTCGGCCGCGACAAATAAAGCCGTCAGCAGCGAGACGACCTCATGGCGTAAATGAAAAAAAAATCATTACAACAATGAAAGCCGCTCACAGCTCTCAGGTCGGCGGGCGGCTGCCAAATAAATTCATTATTGTGGCACGTCGACATAACAAATGTACCCGGTATTAGGTATTCCCGGCGACCTACTTACTCCGCGCCGGGCCTGAATGACAACCCCCAACGCTGAATAATTAATAGGGGATTTTCTTCGCGCGCAAGTTAGGAATCGGTACTAAGACCAAGGTCGGAAAACTGTTTCCCGGCGATGGTGTCTAAGTTGTTCAGATTAAACGGGATCCATTTTCGAATCCACGAATTTTTTAAGCGTTAATAAGGCCAATTCATTCGACGCATCTTGTCACTCGTTAATATCCTTGAAATAATTAATTTAAATCGCAATAAAATTAGAATTAAAAGCTTCATAATGACTAAAATTTAAGGACGAAAATCGTGCTCTGAATCAATAGAGTGGCACGTCTTTCCGTTAGTAGGAAACAACTTGAACCTATTGCGTCTATCCATAATGGATTATACATCGCACGTGCCTCGACCTGATCACGTTCTTCTACCGAGATGGGGGCAGTTACGCATTCGTTGATTATGCGCTCGTGTGGGCAACATGATCGCATAAATATTTCAATGTGATTCTCAAGTCAACACTCACAAGATCAAAAACCCAAAGACGGGAACTCTGTCGAAAAATAAACATAAAATAGGTAAACATTCATCTTGTTTAATACAAAGTCATTATAGCGATAATACAGGAGTACAATTGTATTGTTATAAAGAAAACTTCAAGGGCGAGCATGAAAATAAAAAAATCTACCGATTAAGACATAAGAATCGCTTTAGAGAAAACGCGTGACAACTAGACCGAACCACAACTGCGGTACGTCTGTACATAATCAAATTATCAAAGAGGTCAAGGCTGCTTTTGTTCACAATTCTTGATGTTAAACAACGGTCGCAAATCATAATTTTATACAATTTAAATTTGTTTAACGGACTAAAGCAAAGTATTTTACTTGTATCACAAAGGATTTAAAACGAAAATACTTTTCCAATTCATTTCAGAATCATCCGTAGACATACATAGACCTGCCGAGGGTTGGCCGTTACGATGGTGTAAAATGGTCACCGTCTGCTACCCAATGATGTTTTAATAATAAACATGACGCATGTCCATACTGCACGGCGTTAACAAATTGTTCCATTATATGACATATAATAGTGAATGTGACAGATGATATAGAAGGTGTGATACGGAAAGAGATAGCAGTCTATAGAATTGCAATCGAATTACACCAATTGGCGAGTCGAGTGCCTCAGTTTCGGTGCGCTAGTGTCATATCTACCTCGTATTCGTATATAATATCATTGCTGCTACCTCACAAGGCCTGTAGTACAATATCATTCGGTCTAAGCTTCTCTTTCCCGCTACGTCAGAATCTGCCACACGACTCTAATACGGTACAAGCGATTACATAAGTAGGTATGTCAATATTCTATTAAAATTGCAGTGAGCGCCGATCTTTGGTCAGGGGTGTCTGTGTGTATGTGAATTAGTATGTGGAATTTATATACGCGGGTCCTCGCACGCTAACTGTTATCCCCTAATGGGAGCACTGTTGAGCACTAACGCGACCGCATTCCGAGCGAACTACATTTATTATTGCCGACCTTGGAAACGATAGTACGGTAAAAAGCTGCGCACATCTAAACACGCGAAACGGAAACGGAATGAATGTCTTGATTTTTACAGGAGCAGTGGCCCACTGTACATGGAAATCTGAATGGTGATCACGGTCCACGAACGATCTAAACACGCCGGAGTTTTATATCAAACTAAATAAAGTATCAATTTCTTGTAAATACATCAGAAAAAAAAAACTGGAGATGTTAACGAGAAAAGCCACAAATATTCATACAGTACTTTTATTGGTCGCTTTACGTATAGTAGGGTACAGGAAAAATTTACCGGTGTACGTGTTTTCGTCATAAAATTTCCTAGGAT